CCCCCCCCCACAGCCCTTTCCCCTCCTGCCTTCTCTCCCCATAGACTTACCTGCTGGGTGGGTAGGGGGAGGGGGGGGTAGCTCTTCAGTTCCCCTTGAATTCCAAAAATGATCTCTGACCTAAAAAGGAGAAGTAGTTAAGCCTGTTAGTCTAAAATCAGATGGAAGGCAGAGTAGAGATGCACCTTTATAGACTAAACCCAAGGTCATTTACACATACATAGGAATTATTTGTGTTCCCTGCTTTGTAACCAAAATTTAGTATACTTGTAGACCATATGTAGCATGACTGATTTTAATATTCAAAAAGTATTGAGTTTTTCTGTGCGTATACTCACACTGATTCAAATGCAGGGTGAAGGCCATAATCACAATTATTTAACTGCATGTCATAAAGATCTTTTCCTGGCTCTTCAATAGACCATGTGTGACCTTGGTCAAGTCATATAACCATGGTTCTCCATCTTTGTTCTCAGTCTTCAAAATGGGGAAAACATTGTGGTTCTTTGTTCAGGTGTATCCTGTTTAGAATGTCAGCTTTTTAGAGCAGGATCATTTCTTACTTGCTCTATGCAGTGTCTCTTATAATGGAGACCTGATTTTATTTGGTCTCTGCTTTGATATTGATTAGATTTATTAGCTGTATTTAAAGTGTGTGGCCTTAATAGAACTTTGAGATCTCCATGGAGAGGAACAGTTATAAGAACACCTTTTAAAAAATTGTGTTGTTTTTTTCTTTTTGTTCAGTATGAAAGCATGAGATACGCAGAGAACTTTACCATATCCATCTAAAATAAAAAATTTGGAGTAGCTGTCCTGATAAAGAGAAAAAGCTTTCTTAAATGATAGGCATTCTGTATGCTGATGTGTGGGAAAACATTACTCTGCATGTATTTGCGAGGGAGGCACAATAATATTGTTCCTGTAAGACTCCACATAATTTATCTGTCTTTCTAATACCTGTTCCACGTATATCCTCTTTTTGATCTTGCTAGACTCTTATGCATATACCGTTGCATCTCTTTGGAACCCTTCTGAAGTAAACAAGACTGTTCAGAGTTTTGCCCACGTGGAGCTCAGTACTTTGAGGTGTCTGCTGGATACTAATATTTCCGTTTACAAAATTCTCGTCTGAATTTAACTAATTGGAAGTGACCTTGAACTATGTAACATGCAATTGACCAGACAGTTAAGGAGAATTTTTGTCCGCTTAAAAAAACAAAGAACCCCCCGAAATAATTCAATGTCTTCTAAATCCAGAAGTTGTGAACAGCATAATTTGAAGTTTGATGAGTCTTCTTGGTACTTAGTAAGACCTCTTAAATTTCCTGCCAATATTGATGTATCAGTTTTAATTAGTCTCATTTAAAGAGTCTAAATGGTTATGGTATTGGAGGAATTCTTCAATTTTGTGTATATATCCAAATGTAATGTCTATCCTGCTTGTACTTGGATTAATGTCTGAATAGGAATAAAGACATCAAATCAGTTTTGATTTTCCTTGTGTAGCTTGGTTTCGTATTTCTCAGCTAGATTTTTCCTTTTAAAGTAACAGTGCATTTGAAAACTTATTTTGCTGCTTTGACTGCATTCTTGATCTTATTTCTTTTTTAACCTTTTGGTGGGTTTTTTTTTCAGTTGCATACAAATTTTAGTTCAACATAGCTTTTCTGTTGACTGTATGAGGAAAGCCTAAGGTGCTAATGGAAACCCAGTTCTGCTACCTTTATACTGAATAGTTCTTACTCTTAGGAGTATTCCCATAGACTTGAATAGAGCTATTAGCTACTCAGTATGAGTAAGCACAGCAGAACTGGGCTGGGACTAGATTAGCTCATTTTTATTTAATAAGAGTGCATGTGAAAGAAGAGAAAACAAACAATTAATATAACTTGCATTTTTTTCATTTAAAAAAATGTAATTGTGCTATCATTCAGACTGGCAAATGTGATGTTGAAAAACTGCCTTTGTGGTTAAGTGAAGGCAAGAGTTAGCACTTTGCTTCATAATGAGAACAAGTGGTTTCCAGCAAAAGTTGCAAGTCAGTTTTTGGCTTTAATAATTATTTCTTCCTAATAGAGTTTAAATTGAGAAATTATAGCAAGGGTAAAATGGATTTCTGAACCTTTGTGTCTTTATATAGTTTGCTCTCAGGCTGTTTAATTAAACAGACTGTTTAATTTCATTTTAGACAGAACTGTCATGCATGATGGAACTTGTATCTAGAACAGTGGTTTTCAGTCTCTTTTTGCTTGTGGACCCCTTTGGAAATTTCAAATGGAGGTGCAGACCCCTTTGAATTGTAGTGTGAGTATTCATGTGCTTTTGATCAGAGTCATCTTTTGCTGACCCCTTACAGGATGAAAACCAGTGGTCTAGAACAGTGGTCTCCAAACTTTTTTAATCACGCACCCCTATCAGTAAAACATTTTTTTGAGCACGCACCCCCAATATATGTATATTTATATAAATAGAAATTCTAATATTTTTTTCCCGCACCTCAATGGATCATCTTGTGCACCCCACTTTGGAGACCACTGGTCTAGAAGACTGGCTTTTATAAAACAGTTTCAGATGATAAAATTCAAAGTTTTCAAGCTTATCTGTTTCATTATGATATATTTAATCTGTGACCCTTTTAAACGTCAGAAGTGGGTACTGTACATCAGTAAATATCATCCTCATTTTACAAGTGAGAAGAACAAGGAGTAGTTTTCACTTGCCTCAACTTATATAGCGAGAAACTGGCAGAGCAGTAATGAACATTCCCTAGTTCCAGGTCCCTTGTTCTAACTACCAGCCACATTGCCTTCTGTAACTTAATAAGCAAAGCATGTGACAGTTTAAGTTACTTTGATTAGTGCTAGAACTCTGCTGTTCTTTGAGGAACAGGCTAGAAGCAGGCCTTTTTACCCCACAAAGGTATGATTTTTCTACTTTTAATTATGCACCTTATTAACTGAGAAACATTAAAACCTTGAAGAAATTACCAAGCTGCACTTTACTTTCATTGAGCTAGTAAGTACTTACTTGGTTTGGCATTTG